GTTGCAGTTCGGCCAGAGCCGGGGGCTCAGTACATGGGGCCTGGCACCCTACCCACTGAGCCATAGGCGCCACTCTATACTATCACATCTTAAAACATTTAAGTGAACAAGGTGATATGGAAGCAGGCTACAGAATGATACATTTTTCATAAATAAATAACTCTAGGCGCACATTAGCATTTATAGATAAAATGTCTGAAGGGCTATAAACACCCTCCCCATAGATAACTGGTTCTGTTTAGAGATAAAACCAAGGGAGTTTGGGGAGGTGCATCCTCTTGAGTATTGATTGTATTTTTTTTTTCTTTTACGAAGAGCTATTTTCACTTTCATAATTAAAAAAAAAAAAACACTAAAGAAAACTTTACGGACTTGAGACTGTAAGTGGTTTCAAATCCTCAAAATGGCAAATGTCGCAAGAGCTGGTTCTTAACTGGGCCTTAAGAGATATGCAGCTGGGAGCTGTCAAACATGCTGCCTTTGCCCCAGGTGCTCAGGCCCTCCCTTCCGGCCTCCCACCCTCTAGAAAGAAAATCAGAGAAGGCAGGGATGGGTCAAGGGAAGGATCCAACTAGGTCAAGAATGCCAGTGATAAAAGCAAGCAGTAACTAGGCAACTCCCGGGTGAACTCTGATACCTGTGCACTTTTTCTCCAGGCTTTGTTTTACTTGCTGGTGGGAGTGTTAGGTGTTGGAGTTGGACATCAATTGTTATGAAAAGGAAACCAAAAGTCTGCAGCTAGGCTCTGTCCTTGATTAACTTTAGGGCAGATGCAGGAATTAGCTCACAGTTGCTGGTTGCTGCCTTGCCTGTTTCTCTAAGAAGCTTTTTTGGTGATCCCAAAGACTATGAATGATGATTGGAGTTTGATGGTACATCTTGAAATAGACTTCTAAGGAAGTCTCGATAGTCTAACCCCTTTATAAAATGCAATGAGAATACTTTTCAAATTTTGTGAGGCAAGCAGCCAACTTCCTAATGAGTTTGATCAGCAATTGGGGTTTCAACACAACACATTTCATCCACTTCTGCTCAAACTTCTCAAAGCTAGAAAGGGAGGTGTGAGCCTCCTGCTCACCCACTCTACCCTATAAGCCCCCTGGTTCCCTATCCAGCCCATGAAAGTGGACGTGATCTAAATCCAACAGCCAATTTGTTCTGGATCCATTTGTCTTCTTGTTTAACCTACAGAGAAAAGTGTGCTCTAAAGAAAACTGCTTTCAAATCCAAGTTCACTCCTTCCACATGTCTTCCCTGAAAACAAATTGTTTTGCTTTTAAGTGAAAAGAACAGGTAGGAAGTCCCCTTTTTCACATCTGCCCCATCCAGCTGCCTTTCATCTGAGTCCTACACACATCAGACCCAGATGAGTTCCTGCCCTCCCTCTGTTCCCACTGACAGGGTCCAGAAAGCTCTCGGCTACTTCTATGGCCCCCTCACTTCCTCCGGCATCTCCAACTGCCTGCTTCATGGATTTATTTTTCCATCCATGAGACAAATGGTAATCTGTTATCCACTGATAAGTTATACATTTTTAAGAACACAGAATAGGAACAGAAATAGTAACTTGTTTCAGATTCACATATACTTACTCGTGTTCTGGATCTCAATGTAAAAATGCAGGTCGTACTGTTGTAGTTCAAAACGTTTAAAACCCTGTCCATCTAGTCAAACTCCCCCCACGACATCAGTGCCACCATGCAAGACTCCTTTCCTCCACAATGGCCCAAGCTCTGCACAGACTTTTGGCTGTCTTCTACATCGGCTGTTTTCAAAACCCTTGGCCTTTTACAGGGATTCACAAGTTCCTTCTCGTATATCCACAAGATTGCCTTCTCCTTGAACAGACCCATGTTCTGAGCAAAGAAACACCTTTTGCTATTCCTGCCTTCTCAGGTCGGGGTCTGTTTTCAGCACATCCAACTGTCTCACCAGGAGTAACAAGCTTCAGAGCAGTAGGACTCCATTTCTTTGTGTGCTACCTACCTTTCATCTCCAATAGGAAAAAATATCACCAAAGCCATTCTTGAAATACCTTGGAATTTTTTACAAAATTAGCCTCACTTTCCTGATGTAATACGTTCTTTGTAGTAATACATCCACTGCCTAATGTCAGTGCCAGGTGAATACAGCTCATCCCTAATGCTAAGTCTGCTTCCCATCCTTGAGAACAGATGGTGACTCCACCTCCATACTGCTCTCTCCTTCCTCTTACTAGGCGAATGGAAGGAGGGCAAGCCCAGCAAGGTGCTGTGCTAGCTTGGTGGTATCCTTTGCTCTCTCAAGGTCAAGGACACAAGCTGTCCAGCACAATTCCACCCCTAGTCCTTTCCTCCCTTGTCCAAGGACCCACTATTCTCACACAAACAATTAATTCATCATCTTCCTCAACAGAAAAACCATAGTTTTCTGGATCTCGATGTAGACTATTCAGTTTACCCTTCTCAAACTGAGTATCCCGCTTTTTAACCTTCCACGAGATACGGATGCCTTATGGAATCCTTAATCCGTAGGATATGGGGTATTAATTAGGAAAGAAGAGTGGGACAAGGTACTGAGGTCTTTAAGGTTTCCTACAAATTAAACTGTCTGGCTTCCTGTAATATTTGTAAGACCAGATCTGAGGCTGGAACATAATGCTGGGCCTCCGTTAGAGCACGGAGGGAAGAGTGTGAACAAGTCTGAAAACCATAGGACAGGTGCACTTGACCTTGAGGAGCCAGAAACACAAATGGAAAGAGGGAAAAGGGCCCATTAAACCTCAGTTGCATTCCAGAATTTGCCTAGAAGCAGTGCCACTCCCTATTTTGCAGTCCTTACCTGTTTCCCAGTGGGGGATCTAGGGCTCCTTCTCTACCTGCTAGTTATCTGGTAATGGTGAGGGCTCTCCAACCTCCCTGGAGCCAAGCGGCTTCTTCTTTCTTTCCACTCCTTTGCAGGGAATGATCTTTATCAATCCAACACTGAGTTCGATTTCTGCTAGCTTCCTGCTCCCAAGCCTTCCCTTGGTAAGCAAATAATTAATGCAGATTCGAGAAAATGAAAGAAAAAGCAGGCCAACTCTTGCATCTATACTCCAGGATCTTGTCAGAAGACCCAGTTTCTCTGGAGTTTGCAATGAAGTTTCAGCTCCTTAACCACTGCCATACCTTCAAGTATACAGCTTTAGTAGCAAAGACCCATTAACTCTTTATTTATTTATTTATTTATTTATTCATTTATTTATTTTGAGACAGACCCTCAAGCTGTCGCCCTGGGTAGAGTGTGGCATCCAAGCTCACAGCAACCTCCAACTCCTGGGCTCAAGCGATTCTCCTACCTCCACCTCCCAAGTAGCCTGCCACAATGCCCAGCTATTTTTTGGTTGCGGCCATCATTGTTGTTTGGCGGGCCCGGGCTGGATTCGAACTCACCAGCTCTGGTGTATGTGGCTGGCGCCTTAGCAGCTTGAGCCACAGGCTCCGAGCCAAAGACCCATTAATTCTTTATACTAGGGTAAAGAAGGATTAGAGTGAAAGAAAAGAAATGGAAATCCAGCAGTGTGAATACTAGAGATGGACCGAGTAGCTGATGGGGGCGTCCAGCCTAGACAGTAAAACTCCTACAGGACGGCACAGTGAAGATTCCAACTCTGTAGGGAGGTGATGTGACAAAAGGAGTTGCAGGGGCAGGAAAAAAGGAAGTATCCTCAAAATAAATTATTCTCTGGATCATCAGATGGCACAGGAGGGGGTGGCAAAATAACCAAAATCTATGGTTCCTCAAGCCATTCTTTCAAATTTCCTAACATGACAAGAGTACACTTTCTTAATTTAGTTTCACCCATACACTCTTTATCTTTTAAGGAAAAGATAAACAAGGGTAAAAATTCTCTACCTCATATATAGAACACTTAAGAGGGAACTTGGATTCTCTAACTTATTACCTTAATTGGCTACACAAAGATGAAGCTGCATTCCAATCTATACCATGTGCTCCCACAGCAGTATCTCACCTAAAAAAACACCACAATCCATGGTCCATCATCCTGGGCCCTATTTACGACTGCACTAAGATTTTACTACAGTGAGTTCTCCTGCTTCACACATCAATTCCTAACATCCACATAAACTCTTACACCTTGGCCCCATTAAACATCATCAAAGCAAATTTCACATAAAAATGTGCACCACACTCAAAAGTGTACAATTTAATAAACTACAGACCACCGACACTGGCTCTTCAATGAACCTAGACAACTCAAGAGTGCTTTCACAGAGGTTTTTCTGCCATCTCAGGACGGTAGGAAAATGCTGGCGTTATGAAGCCCATTTCATGGATGGGTAAACTGAGACACTTAGTTTAATAAACTTGCCAAAGGTTATAATGGTAGAGCTGGAAACAGAAACCAATTTCTCTCCCGACTTTGTGCTTGGTCCCTTTCCCAATACACCACTCGTTGGCTAAAAATGGGACCCACTTGAGAAATGGAAGGGTGGGTAAATAAAAGCGACTTGTTTTAGAGAGAGGCAGCGCGGGGTGGGGGCAAGGGTGACTTACCCACTTGATGCGCCTGAATGTGTGTCGGTCTCTAACAAGAAAGCTTTCCCTGGGTGTCCATAGGTTCGCACCCACCCGCTTAGAGCTGAGTCCCCAGAGGCGCCGCCAGAGAGACAGAGCAAACCAAATCGCGCAGCCGGGAAACGCGAGTGGGACGTGGGGCGCCCGAGTGGCGCGGGGGCCGCGGGCCCCGAGACACCATCTGCTCCCGGAGCGGCGCCGGGGCCCGCGGGACTGGGAGGATGCTGCGCCCGCCGCACACACCTGCCGGAGCCCGCCCCGAGCCGCCTCCCGCGCGCGGGACGCCCACCCAGCCTCCGGCGCAGGGGCCCTCGGCCGCGCTAGGCCAGCGGCGGGAAGTCGCGGCGACCCTGCTCGCGGACGGCGTCCAGCTGCGCGGGGAAGCCGCGGGGCGAAGTGAGCCCGCCCTCTTCCCCGAGCCCCACTCCAAACGGCGTCACCTGTGCCGGGTCCCGGGGCGACTCGCGCGCGGGCGGCGGCTGCGCCGGGCCAGGAGAGGGCGGCGGGTAGTTATAAGCGCCTGGTTATCTGGCCCGGCCCGAGGGCTGGCGCCGGCCGGGGCCACCCCGCGAGATGCTCACGGGAGCCAGGGAAGCCGCGGGCTCCGGGCCGCTCGGAGGTGCAGTCGCCGAGGCTGGAGCTACCGCGCGGCCGCCGCGCCCGCCCGGACTGCGGGCTCGGGTTACCGCAGAGCGGCTCCTTAAAGGGGCCGCGGCCGCTCGGGCTCCGGCTCCGGCTCCCGGCGGCTCCGACCCAGGCCAAAGGGGGCGGGGCCCGAGGCCCGCGGCAGGGCCGACCTTTGGCAACTGGAACTTGGGGCCGGGAAAGGGTTCAAAAACGCCAACACCCGACAGGGGCTGCGGTGGAATCCTGGAGGATCACACCTCGCCAAGGGCAGAGCGTGCGGTTCCTGGGTTTCCAAAGCAAGTAACCAAACTCGCGAGTGGGGAGAACTGTGTGAGCCCCCCTCCGCTGCGGTCGGTACCCGAACTAGCCACGTAACCAGAAATCTTTTTAGGTTATAAATTTACATCGGCCTTAAATGCCCAGATACTACGTAAAGGAACTGCATGGTTTGATCATAAGAAGAGAGATGAAAAGGCAACTGCTGGTTTTTTCTGCCACGTCTGCCATGCAAAGGCGCGTCCCGCGGTGCTGTCCTAGGGGCTGCAGGTGCGTATCAAACAGGGTAGGGGGCGTGTGTGGAAGAGGCGTGTTCTCCTAGCAGCTGCCTCCGGAATTCAGGAAAAAACCCCTGTGAAAAGCACTCCACCTACACCCGGAACTCCTCTGCTTTCAGGGTGTGGAAGGAGGATTTGAATTTTTGGTACGGACTGAGAGAGAATCCCAAATTGCCATTAAATAGATCTTCTGACCTGTTACATATATAGCCCCAAGAAGTTCCAGGTGTTCTGGATCAACAAGATATTATTGTTTGAAATAAAACAAATGAAGAGCTATATTTAGGCTACTGTAATTCTCAAAAAGCAAAACCAAGTTTTTATGGAAAGAGGTAAGTTGTTTGTTTGATTTGAGACAAAGTCTCCCCCTGTTGCCCAGGGTACAGTGCTGTCATCATAGCTCACTGCAACCTTGAACTTCTGGGCTCAAACGATCCCTCTTCCTCAGCCTCCCACAAGTAGCTGAGATCACAGGCACCCGCCACTGACACCCAGATAATTTTTCTAGTTTTAGTAGAGATAAGGTGCTCGCTCTTGCACAGGCTGGTCTAGAACTCCTGGCCTTTAGCCATCCTCCAGCCTCAGCCTCTCAGAGTCTTAGAATTACAGGCGTGAGCCACACAGCACCCTGGTACCAGAGGTAAGTTATAAATAACTTATAAACACCACCATTAATAACATAGGACAATTATTTGTAGGAAATCACTATCAGAGCTAAGATATTTGAGCTAATACATACATGTACATAAATGCACATGTATCTGCTACAAATTTAGACCAAAAAATACACACATGCGCGCACACACACTGCCTCTATTTATTTTCAAGGGGAAAACAATAGAAATCAGAACCTGGAGTTCTGGCAGTCTATTTATTAGAGTTGTATGACTTTAACTTAACTTTACTGAGACTCAATTTCTTTATTTATAAAATGGGAATAATAGGCCTGACATGGTGGTTCATACCTATAATTCCAGCACTTTGGAAGGTTGAAGTCAGGAGGTGGAGACCAGCCTGAGCAACAGTGAGACTCAGTCTCTACAAAAGAAATACAAAAATTAGCCTGTCACAGTGGCACATGCCTGTAGTCCCAGCTACTTGAAAGGCTAAGGCAAGAGGAACACTTGATCCCAGGAGTTAAAAGCTGCAGGAAGCTTCCAGCCTGGATAACAGAGCAAGACCCTGTCTTTAAAAAAAATAACAAATTAAAAAACAGGAATAAGACCCGGCAGGGTGACTCACACTTGTAATCCTATCACTCTGAGAGGCCAAGGCAGATAGATTGCTTGAGCTCACGAGTTTGAGGCCAGCCTGAGCAAAAGTGAAACCCCCATCTCTACTAAAAATAGAAAAACTGAGGCAAGAGGATAGCTTGAGCCCGAGTTGGAGGTTGCTGTGAGCTGTGATGCCACGGCACTCTGCTGAGGGCAATATAGTGAGACTCTGTCCCAAAAAGAAAAATGGGAATGAAAATTCATGGTTACTTCTTTTAATTTCTTTTTTCTTTCTTTTTTTTTTTTTCTTCTACTCACCCCTATACTAACAAGGACATGGTTACTTCTGACCACCTGCATTGTGGCAAAAAGGACCTCAGACTGACTTGGAAAGAACAAAACCTTACCACCCTAAAAGGATAGAAACCTCCTGCAGACCCCAAGTGCGGGTCCCTCCTTTTCTCCCTGAATCTCAGGACATAGCAGGACACTAGTTCTTGTTCACCAAAACACGTGCCATCACAGTTGCTTCACAATGCACGCACTGTACACCTTTGGTTTGGCCTATTCTTATTTCCTAACCCTCTGTGGGCAGGAGGATTGTATATGGAAAATAGAGATTTCACAGTGTCATCTCAACACTGTGAATCAGGACTACCTCCTACAGACACACTCCCATGCTTATGCCTGTTGGCCAATGGTGACATTGTTCTTTCTGATAAATGTGCCATTATTATCTTTGATGTGCAAATTATTTAACACCAACAGCAATAACTAAGGCCAAGTAAACTCACCAAAATCCACTATACTCTATGTCCCACTATATTCCTTCATGTTAGAGGCCTCTACAAACACATCACAAGATAGTTTTTGTTTTGTCTTGTTTTTTGAGACAGAGTCTCAAGCTGTCACCCTGGGTAGATGAGGTGATGTCATAGTTCACAGCAACCTCAGACTCCTGGGCTTAAGCGATTCTCTTGCCTTAGCCTCCCAAGTAGCTGGGACTACAGGTGCCTGCCACAACGCCTGGCTATTTTTTATTGCAGTTGTCATTGTTGTAATTAGCAGGCCCAGGCCAGGTTCGAACCTGCCAGCTTCAGTGTATGTGGCCCATGCTCTACCCACTGAGCTTCAGGTACTGCTCAAGATTGTTTTGAAATTACACAGAACATGAAAGTGAATAAATGAAGGCCAAGGCCTGAGATACGAAAAGAATTTAATAAGCATTAGTTGAATGTTAAAACTTTTAAGCTAATCAAAAACCAGAGACTTTAGGAGGTAGAAAAAATATTGACTGGATATTTTTCCTGAAAATTTTAATGCAGCTTAATTTCTTTAAAAATATACATTTTGTTATTCGCATACAAATCTCTAATTATTCTTTGTTTTACCAATAGTCCCTTTTCAAGGATATTTCCTCAAAATGCTGTATTTAGTAAACAAAGGTTTTCTGCATTTTAAATGTGCTACATCAAGGCTGAATTGCACTTTTTACATTTCTGTTCATTGAAATAATTTGAGGGAAAGAAAATATAAAAATCTTTTTAAATGAAGCAAATTTTCCTGATGAATTTTTTTCCCCAAAATTCATATCAAGAGAAAAAAAAAATCATATTAAGAATACGATTCGGCTCATCGACTGTGGCTCAAGTGGCTAAGGCGCCAGCCACATACACCTGAGGTGGCAGGTTCGAATCCAGCCCGAGCCCGCCAAAAAACAACAATGACAGCTGCAACCAAAAAATAGCTGGGCGTTGTGGCAGGCGCCTGTGGTCCCAGCTACTTGGGAGGTGGAGGCAGGAGACTCACTTGAGCTCAGGAGTTGGAGGTTGCTGTAAGCTGTGATGCCACAGTACTCTACCCAGGGGGATAGCTTGAGGCTCGGTCTCAAAAAAAAAAACAAACAAAGAATATGATTCTGTCACGTGAATACAATTAGTGTCAAAAAAAGAAAAAAAACTTTGTGAATACTAGCTCTAGCCCTAGGGTTAATAATTAATTAACTAATTAATTAAAATAAAAAAGAACATTTGTAAGCTTTTTATAAGTGTTTAAAAGTACTTTCTTTTTTGAGACAGAGTGTCACTTTGTCACCTTCAGTAGAGTGAGTGCTATGCCATCATAGCTCACAGCAACCTCAAACTCTTGGGCTCAAGCAGTTCTCTTGCCTCAGCCTCCTGAGTAGCTGGGACTACAGGTGCCTGCCACAACATCCAGCTATATTTTTTAGAGACGGGGTCTGACTCTAGCTCAGGCTATTCTTAAACTTGTGAGCTCAGGCAATCCACCCACTTCGGCCTCCCAGAGTGCTGGGATTACAGGCTGAGTCACCACCCTGGCCCATTTAAAAGTACTTTCATCTGGTGGCACCTGTTATTCAGTGGGTAGAGTGCTGGCCACCGAGGCTGGTGGGTTCAAACCCAGCCCAGGCCAGCTAAAACAATAATAACAACTACAACAACAAAAATAGCCGGGTGTTGTGGCGGGCACCTATCGTCCCAGCTACTTAGGAGGCTAAGGCAAGTAAACCTCTTAAGCCCAAGAGTTTGAGGTGTGACACCACAGCACTGAGGGTCACTGAGGGTGACGTCGTAGTGAGACTTTGTCTCAAAAAAAAAAAAAAAAAAATACTTTCATCTTACAAAGGTATGGAATCAACCCAAGTACCCATCAATTAATGAGTGGATTAACAAAATGGGGTATGTATCTGTATGCCATAAAGTACTACTCAGCTATAAAAAAGCATGAATTAATGCCTTTTGAAACAATTTGGATGGAACTGGAAACGATCATCCTAAGTGAAGTATCCAAAGAATGGAAAAACAGGCTCGGCGCCTGCAGCACAATAATTACAGCACCAGCCACATGGAAGTTGGCGGTTTGGAACCCAGCCTGGGCCAGCTAACCAACAATGACAACTGCAAAAAAAAAAAAAAA